TATATATATATATATATGTGTACATAAATATATAACAAGATTTATTCTTTTCAAGAGAGAAAAATTCGGATATAAAATAGAGAGAAAGTTATATTTAATATTTAAATTTTTCTAGTGCTTCTTATAACTATTATTTTTTTGTTCGAATAATAGCAGCAATTCTAAAGTAGTTTTTTAGTGTTAAGATCAACGCTTTACAATGGTACATTGAAATATTGGCAAATGTAAAGTTTATGAAAAAATTTATGTAAGGTAATGGATCGTTGTTAATTAAAATAAGCATGTAAATAATAATGTGAAATAAATTAGATTAATTAGATATGATAATGTAATGAAAAAAAAATGAGAAACACTGTTAAATTAGAACGATTGTGAAAATAAAGAAAAATGTCATAGTAAGTCTGTGAGTCTTGAGTAAGAACATAATAAAGGAGATGAAAGAATAAAAGTTTGAAGTATTGGTGAAAGGTTGTCTTTAGTTGATTTTAACTTCCAGTATGAATGGAGAAATGAGAAACGAGAGGAATACTTTTTTCGATAAGCTCGAGGCAGTGAATTCTTACAATTGAAAATGATTGTAATTTTTATCTTGTGATTTATTAAAACGGATGAGATTGTGAATTGATAAAATTAAATTTCTTAGAATAAATGCAAATTATGTATTTGTTGGATTATTATAAAATGCTATTGTAGTAGAAAATAAAAAATGATGCACTGAGAAAAATGATCTGGTTGGATTAAATAGTAATTCTGGTAGAAAATGGACGAATCAGAATTTTCTAGTTAAATATGCTGGAATTCTAGTTGAGATAGCTAGAATTTTAATTGATATAATTATTCTGATAAAAATGAAAATTCTGATTGGATTTTACAAAAATATTGTATTAATTAGAATTCTGATTATCTCAATTAGAATTCTAATAAATTTAATCAGAAAATTCTGATTCGTCCATTTTCAATCGGAAATTTTTTTCGGTGTTATTAATCGATTATTTGTCTTTGTTTTATATAATTAATCAGTCATTTATTAAGCTTGAGAATATATAAACGAAGCTATATTTTATTTTACATTAATTCTAATATTTCCGTAAGAAAAACGTGCACATATGCGCACATTAGAATTATATGACAATTAATATAACATAACACAATCCATAATAATTATATATTTTTATATATAATATGTATAAAAATTAGAATAACGCACAAATTTTAGTTAAATTTTATATTTTATGATGTATACTTATAGACATGCAAGAATATTGCAAGAATGCGTTGGAATTTATGTTGGAA